TCCTCTATAACTTGAGTTATATGGTGATTGAATCCTTGTGTAATTGGTGTTGTTCGGAATTGGTTTTCCTGAACTGTTGTTACTATATACATTTTTGTTTGGAAGATTTTGATCTTTCTTCATACATTGATAGAACGATTTATTTGGTTCTTTATGTTTTTGAGGTTTGTTTTGGTTATCTTGTTGTTTTTTTCTACATTCGGAAATTTTATGTCCGTATCGTCGGCAATAGTTACACCATTTTTTGAAAAATGGTTTGCCTTTAAAATTTGGGTGTTTTTCATAAATATTTAGTATTTCAGTGATTTTTTCAACTAGGTCTGTATCTGATTCCTGTATGTTATTTATATGTGTAGTGTTTGTTTCAATTCGATTAACATATTGTAGTTTTAGATTTTCTGTTTCTTCAAGTTTCATTGTGATTTCCGCTTGCTCTAGTTTGTCTACTAGTTTTCGAAAATCTAAATCTGGTTCTCGAATTGAAGAAGGATGAGATGCTCTGTTTTTTTATTGCTATTTTCCTTAATTGAGGTGTTAAGGTCATCATTAAAATTTCTGTCATTTTTGTGTTTTTATAGTCATGTGTATCAAGTGAATATGCTTTTTAAACTAGTGTTTCGATACGTACTGCTAATCGTTTGATGGTTTCATTTGGTAATCTGCGAATTTCATTACATAAAACTCTTTGGTCTTGTTTATTTCTTTCGGAGTCAAACATTTTCGAAAATTCTTGTGTAAATCTTTTCCAGTCTAATTTTATTTCTATAGGTAATACTGAAAACCATTTTTGAGCTGCGCCATCTAAAATTGTTTGTATCAACGCTGTGCGTCTATGTATCCAATTTTGATGTAGTGGCGTATTAATTGGTTCAGGTCCTATATCTAAAATTAAATTTGCTGTTACTGCATTTAAATAATCTTCTACAGAATATTCAGGGTCTGTTCCTGTAAATACCATTAGTGGTTTATTTGATGTTATTGATGATCCACCCATGAGGTATGGATTCATTGTCACCTGTAGTGATTCTGCGGTATTTGGCATTTGCGAAAAATTTGAAAGTTGATTTTTTGTTATTTCGTGTTGTTGAAGGTAATATGGAAGTGGTATTTCATTTTGCATTTGAGTTGGTTGATACGAGTGCATAGTCATTGGGTTTTGTGGTTGAATCGGTTGAAAAGATTGTGTATTAGTTGGATTTGGCATATGTATTGGTTGTTGATTTCGTGTATCTGTTGGATTTGGAGAAAAAATTCTATTATATGTATGAGGTCGTCGCGATCATTGTTTGCGATATTCTTGGGTATATGGTGCAAAAATGTCTGGTTGTGAATAATCATCATCAGATGATAAGTATTCCGTATGATGAAATGCTTGCTTTTTATTTTTATTTTGTTGAAAGAATGGGTAATTTTCACTATGATCCTGTGGAGGATGTGAATTAGTTCGAAAATTTACTTAGTTGGTTGTTGTCATTGGGTTATCCCAATAGTGAGATCATACATGATTATTATTAGTTTTTTGTGGGGGTAGTTTGTTTTTGACGAATGTGCATAATTATAATTGTGTTCTACAAAAGTGTTTCTTGTGAACGTTCTTCGTGGTTTTGATGGTACTGTCATGGGTCTATATGTTTGATAATCCATATGTGAATATTTTGGAGCAACCGAAGGTTTAACGGTTGATTGTAAGGTTACTTGTGCCAGTGAAGTGTTTGTATTTCTTGGTGTTGTTAAATTTGGATGTATTGGTGAAACACTTTGTTGTGTAGTTGTTGTTGTTTGGACAATTTCTTCATTTATGAAGTGTGATGGTGTTTGAATATCTTGTTGTGTAAGATTTCTAGTTCCATTAAGGTTTTTATTGTGTATGACGGTCGAATTTAAACTGTTATTTCGTGTATCAGGTAAAAATATATTGTAGTTTAATGCTGTTGCATCAATGGTTAGTGGTACTACTTTTACATAATCTCTTTGGTAAGATATTGTACTTATTGCTTGACTTGAGATTGATTGTGGAATATTTATAAATGTAGGATGAGACCATTCAGGGTCCCAAACGTAGTCTGATTGTTCTGTAATGGCAGTATCATCATTTGGATTTTGAGGTCTGAAATTTTTTCTTGCTTGTGAAATTAAGTCTATATTATGTGTGAAATAATCTATTATAAACCATGCCAAAATGTTTTGTAAGCCATGTTTTGTGTGCTGTGAAACATCGTCTTTAGTGAAATTTTCTTTGATTGTATGCAGAAAAATGAAAATTATGCAAATTCATTTCGTACTTTTGTATGTTTGGATGTTTCAGTTGGTGAGATAGTTTGAAATTCGTTTTTTTTCCAATATAGAAATATAGGTATATATTATTGCAAAAACTTCGTTAGTGAATATAGAATTTGCTCTTTGTGAACTCTGATATTGTATGCTTTTAATATATTCTGAGAATATTTTTGAAAATTCTAATTCAAGATCATCTGTTTGAATTACATATGTACGATGATTCGTATTTGGTGTGCTGAATTCTATGGTGTAGATTCCATATTGTTGTGTTAAGTTACATATATCTTTCAGATAATGTTCAATAATTTGTCTTTTGATTTTTACATCTGGGAATTCTGCTTTGCATGGACTGATTCCGGGTTCAAACAAATTTACGAGTAAATTCTTGCAAAAATCATGTTGCCCTCTAGTATCGGGTGCATCTATGAGGAAGGGGTAAACCTCTTCGTCATCTGGACTATCGTCACTTTGAGTGTGGCTCATTTTTTCGTTTAATGACTGTTAATATGTAACTATCGATGTGTCTAATTGGTTGATTCTAATTATACGAGTGTACTTGTTTGTGTTTGTATTGCTTTTTTATTCTTCTTTTTCCTCTTTTTGATGAATTTGAAGTTGTTTCTGAATCGGAAAAATATATTTGATTGTGAATGGGACAATTTTTATCAATTGATTCTTTTAATTTGTAGAGTTCATCTAAATTGCTGGCTTCTGATTCTGAAAATGCGTTTTTTATTTTTTGAAAATCTTTTTCGTGTGATTTGTCTTTGTTTGTTTATGATTTTTCTTTTTATTGTTAGTCGTTTTGTTCTAATGTATCCAACTGTTTGTGTATGAGGTGTGATGACAAGATCGTATTTTTGGTTATCTATCTCACAGTTGTGTAAAACGATTGTTTGTTTTTTTCCTAGATTTTTGAATGACATAAGGTTTAGGATGAGGGATGCAAAAGTTGTTAGGTATTTCTATTTTCTTAGACTGTTAGTCCTTACGATTTTTTGGTTAGCTTAACCTGGGTCTTTTTATTTAGGGTTGGAGAGAAAAGTATATCAATTCCGAGGAGTGATTTTTTACTTTCTCGTGGCTAGTCTAAGCTAAGGTGTTAACTTACATAATCTTACTTAGGGGTAGTGATTGTGTTCAAGGGTTGGAGAATAGTAAATCGATCCACAAGGTTCAGGTATAATTAGAACGCAAGTAGTTCCTTAGGTACTATTTGAAACTTACTAAGTCTAAGATCTATCCTGGGTCTGGTAAGAGGAGGGTTCAAGTGAAGGATGAATAACCGAAGTTCTTCACTGTTTATCCTAATTTGAATGGTTAGTTTTATTTAAAAATTTCTATTAGTCTTGGGTCTTTTGGAAGGGCTGGATAATGAATCGACGTTTGAGGGGAGAGCAAAATTAGGTGGGGGAGAGCAAAATTGTTCTTTTTGATCCAAGGATAGGCCTTGATGATCAGGTTTTAAATTTAATGAAATAGAAAATTTATTAAGATCCAAGGATAAGCCTTGATGATCTAATTTTAAAATTAAACGAATATAAGTTTAATTTGTTTTAAATTTATTTAAGAAAAAGATTTAGTTTTTTGATGATATTAGTGAGCTTATGATTGCTGTTATGTTTAGGTGATGAAGCTGGGACAACAGATGATTTTATGATTACTAACAATTTATTGTCATGCTACTAATTTTTGTTTTTATTTTCACTTAGTTTTTTTCAAACATGTTTTATATAAGACTGCAGAAATTAAGAAAACGATCTGAGATCTTTTTATCAATCGTTATTGTATATCAATAATTTTGTTTAGCGCCTGAAATGATCATGAAGATTGACTTTAAAATTTTATGTTTGCAAATGAAAATCTAAATTCATTGCTAATAAGATTCTAAAATAAAAGTTTGTGTTGGCTTTTGCCGTACGATCATAAAACTATTTGGTAAGTTTCTACTTTGTCGTATGTCGTCTCTTGTTCGAGGTCTTCTTCCAATTCCGGGTACTTCTATTATCGTTCGGAATATCGGCTCTGATCTATTGAGTCGTAGAGACATTTCGATTAAATTATTATCGTATAACATTTTGAAAATGTTTTGTCTAAATTCTAATCTATTTTTGGTTAATTCTAAGCTATTAAGGTCTTATTCGAGACTTATGGTCGCACCAGATGAGTTATAACCGATGTGGTTAACTCATAGAGTAATTTCGGATAGGGTACACCGTCTGCTCGTCACGCTATCTTATTTTCGGCCGGATAGATTCGTGCAACTTCTTAGTCTAATACCGATCCTAATCTTACTCTTATACTTTCTAGTCTCAGGGTGTTTAACTAGTCTCTGCTAGGCTCAATAGATCTAGGGTATACTGGTTTGTTGCGGCTGCTGAAGTTCTCTTGGAGAGACAACTAATTTCTAAGTTAAATTCAAATCTCTCTGGTGCTGAAATTACAAGTAATTTCAGCACTTACAAATAAGTGGGTTGTTAGTTAGATGGATCATGATTGGTTAATATTAAATACTTTACAGTGGTAAAATATCTAATTTATCCAATCATAAAATATAGTTTAGATCAGATTCCAGTATTTCCAAATTTAAATAAAGTTTAAAAATTGCTAAGGTTAAGGTTAAGAATTGATCACACTGAATTTTCTGGTTTTAAAACACATTCATTGTAAAAGTTTTCTTGAAGCACTCAATTTTATTTGTATTATCAGCAATAATTACTTACGCCACTTTTTTGAACAGTGCCTGTTCCAGCAGTGCCATCCGCTTGCCCCCCGGATGGGAGGGGGCGAGTGTTTTGGGGGTGTAGTTCTCCCGCACTTCTGTCAAGTCAGAGGCAGTGGCATCGAAGTTAGTAGACAGAAGACCTCTGTGTCCATTCTTGGTGAAAGTCTCGTCCAAATCGTACACTTGACGCTAAAAACAACTTTAATGGTCAAAATTAGCAAGCGAGAAAAAAATTTTTTCCATTAATTGCTCATGCATTCAACAGCTATGAATCTATGAAAAGTATCAAAGCTGTTGTGATTTCAAATATAAATTGACAAACTATTGTTTTTTTTTACTTTTCTTCATTGCGCTGCAATAGTTTCTTTTAAATAATTGCTCCCCAGATATGATTCTTACAGCCACAACCATTTTAAACAGTTGCCATGAACTTGGCAAAATTGTGCAATGCGGCGGTCATTAAGTGATTACTTTCTCTTTGATGCTCTTCCAGTTAGTCAGTTTAGTTATTGCTACTACCGACCATTGGTAGCTAAGGTATTTGAAGCAGTTCCAAATTCTTGTTCTGACCGTTGAAGAAAAGAGAATTATTGTTCCCGGTATTTTTTTTCTCAGATAAAAGTCGACTTTCTAACTTGCCAGTTTTGAACGGTTTTTTATACCATCTGAAATGCATTGACCTTCTATGCTAAATTTCTTAAAGATATTTCACCTGCAACTATTTTATGTGAATTTATGGTAATGTGAAAATCGTCAACTTGGCTAATTTGAGACAATTAAAGCGGCATATTTTTTCATACTATTATCGCGTAAGCAGCTAATTGATCTGGCTCAAGCGCTCCGGTTTATAGGACTTATAGACAGAATACTAGTAAAAGTACATCATTGTTCCGAATATTTTTTCCCTTGACAAATTTCGAGTTTGTAACTAGCATTTTTTCACGGAATTTCTAAATATTAGTGAAAAAGTATTGTTGTCTTGAGATCAAATTAAAAAACAATATTTCACGTGTGATAATTTTGTAAAATTATAGGGCTTTAAAGGTTGCCAATTTGACTAATTTAAAAATCAAAATTAGAAATTTTCAAAACCGCAAACAACTTTTTATCCTTGGTTAACAATTAAAATTTTTGAACACCCTACCCTAATGATTTATGTTTTTTTTATATAACATTAGAGTTTCGCTGCCAGATACCGATTTATGAGTTCTAAATATATAGACTCATCAAGACAATTCACAAAATGTTTTCTCCGAACTTTAGTTCAGTTTTAGCCTGGTTTAATTTTTAAAAATTCCATTTTTCAGCATAGTAAGAGCTTATTGAGACCTTACTACTGCAAAGTTAATCACAAAATGAAGTCCAACTTTAAGTTCCGGAGAAGCGTTAAACAAAGCTTTCAAAACAAGCTTTCGATAGCTATAAACTAGATATTTAAATTTTGATAAAACTATTATAAGTTAACAAAACTGCTTGTCTATCAGGTAGAATGTATATCATAAAAAATTTTTCTATAAAAAAATAAAAAGCTTTTTATGCTAAATATTTTGACGAGATAATCAAAAAAAAATTGCGTTTTTTCTTCATTTAATCACCCCACGCGTATTTTATTCCTCCTCTTGATAATACAAAGAGTGTATTTAGCGTGTCTCGTATTGTGATAATAAAACCAAAATGCTGGCCTCAAACTATTTCGGAGCGCATTAATTCGGAGCGTGTTATAAGATCGCTATCAATCGCGCGTTAATTATCCCTAATCGGCCGAATTTAAAATTTTCAAACGCCTATGATTTTATTAAAAAATCACCGTAAAAACATCATTTTAAATTTGAGTTCAAGATTTTTGTATCTTTCAGATGAAATAAAAATTTTTGCCAAAACCGTTTAGTTAAAAATCAAAAGTTGACGGATTCAAAAAAAACCGACCCAAGCATAAATATTCTGTTTTCTTCGACAGTCGGAATAAAAATTTAACCCGATATAGCTTTCACTTTTTACCGAATTCAACGTTGTTATAATGCTATGAATCTTGACAAGGAGAGCAAACTAAATATTTTCAATTGCTTTGTTTTTCATAGTTTACATTGTAACATCAAGCTAAAAAAATTTGAAACAAGCCACAAAAAAGATAACCAGAAGCTCTTTCACCTTCCACCACCTCGCAGAAACCTCAATTTTATGGTGTACTCAGAGGTTGTACAATGTTAAGTATGAGGACCAAATATGTTTGTCGTGGCCTAACTTGTCTGCACGCTAATTTTTCGACGATCAATTCATCAAGACCAAAGATGATCAAACGACGATCAGAAATTAAGAACAAAACAATTTCCAGAAAAAACAGCCTAGCTAGAAAGTTTTGAACACTTAAATAAAAAATCCTTTAAACTTTTTTTTTCATTTTGTGTTTGGGTGGGGCAGGGTAATAGAAACAAAGCGAAAGCTTTTTTATTGTGTTATTATGGCTGAACGCGTGATGTCGCAATAAAAGGTGTGAAGAACAAATATGGGCTCTTTTCCGGTCCACTTTTTTTTCTGAAATTAATTTGATTAGAGTCTATTTAAAATGACTTTTATTGTTATAAATTGCAACAAAACATGTCAGCGTGAAAAAGCGAACCAATTTTTACAGCATTTCTTTCATGCAAAATGTCGTGTGAACAATTTTTGTACAGTTTCATTTTTTAATTTTACGAGGGGGGTTTGGAAACTGGAAAAAAACCCAAATATGTTCAGATATGTTAGTTACGTCAAAATGCCATTATGACATCGCAAAATGTTTTTTTTTGAAATTGAAATTGAAAGATTGGGGTTTTTAGCCGAAAGTTCTATCGAACTTGAAAAACTTGTATGATAATTACTTTAGATCGTTGAAATTACGATCATAAGGGCTCTAATATGATATATCACTCAACCCATTCTGATTATTTATTAAGTTGTATTTTGCCAGGAAAAAACAAAATTCGAAGACAAAAATCCTCTCTCTCGTTCCCTTTCCTTTTAGTCACCGTGGGTTTTTTCTACTTCCACCTACATTTGAAAGTCAACTTAGAAAACTTCTTCAACATTTTCACAGAAAAAGAAAATTTTTCACGTTGAATAAATTAGCTCTGAACACACTTGTGTTTCATACCTCAATGTGAAAAATTATGCGTTAGCTAATATCACAGGCAATTTGGGCAGTTTTTGCAATGTAGAGGAGAGGGTGAAAAGAAAAAAACTCTTGTTGCCGTTTCTGGACTTTTTTTAAAATCAATATATTGAATTTGATTTGATTTTTTCGGAAATTCAACTTATGAAAAACTACTTGAAGTGACGGCTCTTTTCCAGGTCCTCCCCTTTCAAAATACAGAGTTTTATGTTTGTTATACGTGTTATTACAGCTAAATGCGTGATGTTACGCTGTAAAGTATGAAAGACAATTCTGTCCAGAATTGTCGATTTGTTCACCACGCCAAATTTCATTGAATTATGACAACGTTAAATAGACTTTTCAAAATTGAATTCGAAAGGGGGGAACTGGAAAAAAGCCAGAATGACTTTTCATATTACAAACTGCAATAAAACGTGTCAGCGTGAACAAATTTTGGCTCTTTTTCATTTTCTTCCCACCTCACACGAACATCAATTTTATTGTCTAACGAGTGGTTTTACAAGGTTGATTAGGAAGACCAAATATGTTTGTCAGGGCCTAATGAGTCTGCATGTTAATTTTCATGACAATCGGTCATTCTGAACAGTAGTTTAAATTATAAAAATTTGCAGGCCGGTGGGAAGGAAAAGAGCCCAAAATTCTACAACATTTTTTGCAAGCAAAATACCGGGCAAACAATTTTTGGCTCTTTTCCAGTTTCCTCCCCCCTTTCAAAATACTGAGTTTTATGTTTGTTTTACGTGTTATTATGGCTAAATGCGTGATGTTACGATGTAAAGTATGAAAGACAATTCTGTCCAGAATTGTCGATTTGTTCACCACGCCAAATTTCATTGAATTATGACAACGTTAAATAGACTTTTCAAAATTGAATTCGAAAGGGGGGAACTGGAAAAAAGCCAGAATGACTTTTCATATTACAAACTGCAATAAAACGTGTCAGCGTGAACAAATTTCGGCTCTTTTTCATTTTCTTCCCACCTCACACGAACATCAATTTTATTGTCTAACGAGTGGTTTTACAAGGTTGATTAGGAAGACCAAATATGTTTGTCAGGGCCTAATGAGTCTGCATGTTAATTTTCATGACAATCGGTCATTCTGAACAGTAGTTTAAATTATAAAAATTTGCAGGCCGGTGGGAAGGAAAAGAGCCCAAAATTCTACAACATTTTTTGCACGCAAAATACCGGGCAAACAATTTTTGGCTCTTTTCCAGTTTCCTCCCCCCTTTCAAAATACTGAGTTTTATGTTTGTTTTACGTGTTATTATGGCTAAATGCGTGATGTTACGATGTAAAGTATGAACAACAAATCTGTTCACAGTTGTCGATTTGTTCACCATGCCAAATTTCAATGCATTATGACAACGTTAAATAAGATTTACAAAATTGAATTTGAAGGGGGGACTGGATAAGAGCCCAATTTTTGAAATTTTTGAGCTTTTTTTGAAATTTGACGAGGGGGTTGGGAAACTGGAAAAGAGCCCCATAATTTGTTTGGCTTTTTTCCGCTCGACCATATTTCAAATATTTTAGTTGCTTTACGTGTTTTTTCAATTGAATGCGTGATGTTAGATCTAGAGTATGAAGAACAAATCACTTCACAATAGTTAGATTGCTTATCGCCAAATTGCATTTCATTGCATTATGACAACGTTAAAATAGTTTTTCAAAGTTTTTCAAAGGGTGGGGGGCTTGGAAAAAACTCATTCGTTTATACAAGTGCGTGTTTCCTTCTCTTTTTAGTTGCGCAAAAGCGCTTTTAGAAAATCTTTAGAAAATTTGGTAGTGGGCAATTTACTTAACTATTATCACACTTTTCAGCATGCACAACCTCGTAAAATCAATCAAAACATCATTCAAGTGATGTTCTTGTCTTGCGGAGATACAGAGTAGAAGAGCCACCAGATACAAAAATCAAATTTATGGTGTAATCATTGACTTTGCGAAGTTGTATAAAAAACCAAAATAAATAATTATTTGACTAATTAACCCAGATACTAATTTTCATAACAATTGAACATTGTGAACAAAGTTAAGGAATAAGAAAAGATTGCTGATGGGTTTTTTTTTCGATCCGTTTTTTTATCTATGCGTTTGGGAGCGGGTTTTTAAAATAATCAGTCGGTTGTTTAAGATCATCAAATTGGTTTTCAGAACTAGCTTCTCTCTGCCCCCTTCCAAACTTTCACGTTCAAATTTGAAAAACTACTTGGGCTCTTTTTCCTCCACCTACCCCCTGTCACACGAGCATCAATTTCATGATCTAACGAGTGGTCTTACAAGTATGAATATGCTGTCCAAATGTGTTCGTCATGGCCAAATTATTCTGCATGGTAATTTTCGGGACAATCGGAAAATTTGAACAAATTCAAGTTATAAAAATTTGCACTTGGGGGGTGGAAGGAAAAACAGCCAAAATTTCTACAACATTTTTTGCAAGCAGATTGCCGTGTAAACAATTTTTGAACTTTTTGAGCCTTTTTTTGAAATTTGACCAGGGGGTTGGGAAACTGGAAAAGAGCCCCATAGTGCATTTGGTTCTTTTCCGCTCCTCCATAATTCAAACTTTTTTAGTTGCTTCAAGTGATTTTTCAAGTGAATGCGTGATGTTAGATCTAGAGTATGAGGAATATATATGCTCACAATATCTAGTTTGTTCATCGCCAAATTGCATTTCATTGCATTATGTTAACGTTAAAATAGTTTTTCAAAGTTTTTCAAAGGGTGGGGGGCTTGGAAAAAAGTCATTCGTTTTTACAAGTGCGTGTTTCCGTTTCTTTTTAGTTGCGCAAAAGCGCTTTTAGAAAATCTTTAGAAAATTTGGTAGTGGGCAATTTACTTAACTTTTATCACACTTTGTCAGCATGCACAACTTCGTAAAATCAATCAAAACATCGCTCAACTGATGGTTTTGGTCTAGCGGAGATTCACAGTAGAAGAGCCACCAGATACAAAAATCAGCTTTATGGTGTAATCATTGACTTTAAGAAGTTGGATAAATAACCAAAATATATAATAATTTGAGTAATTAACCCAGATACTAATTTTCATAACAATTGAACATTGTGAACAAAGTTAAAGAATATGAAAAAATTGCTGATGGCGGTTTTTTCGATCCGTTTGGAGGCGGGTTTTCAAAAAAAACCCGTCGGTTTTTTAGGATCATCAAATTGATTTTCAGAACTAGCTTCTTTCTGCCCCTTCCCAACTTTCACGTTCGAATTTGAAAAATACTTGGTCTCTTTTTCCTCCAACTCCCGTCAACTTTATGGTCTAACGAGTGGTTTTACAAGTAGAATATGATCATAGAAGAGCCATTTTTTGAACGTTGTCATAATGGGCTCTTTTCCAGTTCCCCCCTTTCAAATTCAATTTTGAAAAGCTTATTTAACGTTGTCATAATGCAATGAAATTTGGCGTGGCGAACAAATCGACAATTGTGAACAGATTTGTTCTCCATATTTTACATCGTAACATCACGCATTTAGCCATAATAACACGTAAAACAAACATAAAACTCTGTATTTTAAAAGGGGGGACTGGAAAAGAGCCTCATAATGCAATAAGTTTTGCATGGTGAACAACCAAACAATTGTAAACAAATTTGTTTTTGATTCTTGAATCTTTCATACTTGAATGTTTCATACTTGAAGTTCAGAAAAAATTGGAATGGAAAATAGCAAAAAACCACACCAAGCAAAAATATTCCGTTTTCTTTAAAATTCGGAACAAAAATCTTCAAAGGGTGCAAAAATTAATCCAGAGCATGGCCAAATTGGCAATTTTCAAGCTCTCAGAACTTTGCAAAAATTGATCGGAGGTAAAATATCTTTTTAAATTTGTTTTCAGGGAGTCAATATTTTCAGAACTTTACCAAATCACTATGAAGACCCTAATTAGCAATTATTTTTTGAAAACACGCCAAAAGGCGTTTTAGGGGATTTTTTATAAAGTTTTGCCCAAAATGATATTTTTTCTAGTCCCACGCTCCCCCTTTAATTTTGTTGGACCGATAGCGCTCTTAGAAGTTTTGGCTCTTGTCTAGTTTCCCCTTTCAAAATACCGAATTTTATGTTTGTTTTACGTGTTGTTACGGCTAAAAGCGTGATGTCACGCTGTAAAGTGTTAAGAACAAATCTGTTCACAGTTGTCGATTTTTTCACCGCGTCTTATTTCAAAGTTGGGTTCGGTAAGATAGTGGTGAAGGTAAAAAATATCATGTAATATTTTTTTCTTACCTCCTCTTGCCAATTGTCCAGCAGAATTTTGCCGTCGCCCCCTTTCAGCATTTCAGCTTAATTTAATAAAGTAAATAACTAAAAAACGCAGATTTTAAATCAAAAGTCAACACGGTGTATCTTTTTCGTGTAGCAAGCAAACGGTGTTTGAGCTCAACCAATGACCAAATCTATGTGTATACAGTTTACTTCTGTTGATGGCACAATATAGCGTCAGCATAAGCTTGTAACTCATTAAACATAAAAACGCACGTGCCGGCTTCCCTATAATAAAAATTATAACGCTTTTTTTGAAAAGATTGGAAACTTGAAGATCATTTCGAGTGTTGGGAACCAGAGCTGGACTAGTTTTCCTTTACACCCCACCCCCATGAGCATCAATTTTATGATGTAACGAGAGGTTTTCCAAATATTCTCGTCAAGGCTTAATTAGTCTGCATGCCAATTTTTGTAACAATCGGACCAGTAACGGATTGAGGGGGGAGGGGGGCGGACGCCCTCCCCACAGGGATTCGACGGCTCTTTTTCCTTTTCCCCCCACCTGCAAAATTTTACTAGTGAAGTTTTTGTTCACTTTATCCGAATGTTACAAAAATTGACATGCGAACTAATTAGGCCATGACAAACATTTTTGATCTTCATAATTAACCTTGTAAAACCCCTCGTTACACCATAAAACTGATGCTTATGTGAGGTGGGGGGGGGGGGGGGGGAAGGAAAAAGAGCCGATTCGACCCCTGCCGACCCAAAGGGTCCCCCTTTGTACTATTTTGAAATATAGATTTTTGGCTGACTGACCTTAAAATTTTTCTAAAGGCGGCTTTTCGAGGGGGGAGCGATTTTTTGGTCAACATTTTCCAAAAAGTGTCTAAAAACGCCTTTCTTGGCCTGTTTTTTGAAAAATTTGCCTCCGGTGCAGAAAATGTGGTCAAATTACGGTTTCTAAAGTGATTTGGGAGAGCTCAAAAAATCATTTTGGTCGACCTAAAAAAATGTCGAGGTAAAATCTGCCCCCAAACCCCCCCCCCCCCCCCCCCCCTCGAGAAAATCCTAGATCCCCGCCTGAATCGGACTATGCTAACAGTAACTAGCAAAAATTTGCAAGTGGGGAAAAAGGAAAAATATCCCAGATCTTAAAGCAATTTTGTGTGATTGTGAGATGGTTCTTTACCACAGTTGTTTTTTCTCGATATTTTTTGGCTGACAACGGAAATTTTTTGTAAGGTTTTGGGGGTTCAAAGATTTCAAATTTGGCAATCTACAAGCAATTAAAGGACGATATGTTTCGGGATATTAACGCGTAAGCAGAGATTTAATCCATGATGGAAATTGTTCCAAATTGAAATTGGTCATGCTATTTGGTACATTTAATACTTGCCTATATGCAAAATATACCACTCCAAGCTTTACATATCGTGTGGGGGGATGATGTTAGAAAATAAGGGTGATAATTTCGACGTTTTAAATTTTGTTTGTTTTTTTGAACATTTTATCCGTTTTCCAAATTAAGACTTATTGCATAGACTCTAAAAATTGTCGAAACATTCAGGGCTTGGCCCTCATGCGAGCAGTCATATTTTGTATTATTTCTATAAAAGAAGGCTATCAATTACTGGAGGGCTATACTGGAAAAAACCCTTCTATGAGACGCGCTTTTAAGTTTTAAATCTTGAACAAGACTGCTCGTATATCAGGGCAAAGCTCTGATTGTTCCAACTGCCCCTTAATTCATATCGAATATTTTTTGGGAAAAGAAAATATTGAAAAACTATAATTTTGGAAGATATCAAAAATTATGATGGTATTGGCCTAATTCCGACTGGCTAGAAAAAAGCACGAAGATTTAAAGTATTTGCCGTCAACCAGCAGCCGTCAATGGGGACCTTTCTACTTTTCGTTGCCTTATAATTTTTATGCTAGTGTTACATTTGCTAGTTTACTTTTTTCGCTTCCATAGCCTCACTTTTTTTGATTTCATGGACTTATAAAACTGCTCTCAATTAGTTGTACTAATTAACACTTGACACAGGTGGGTCAAAATTGGCTGAACCAGTGACTTTTAAAGTTTTATCGACCTCGTCATGCCATGCATCGACTTTCTTCTCTTACAGCAGAGTCAATTCCAGTAGCGCTATACGAAAATAAAAAGACTGATTAGCTAGCCTCTATTCAATTTGGAACGAATGTGTTGTACAGCATAATTCGCCGCGTATAAATAACTCGCATTACGTTTTCAGCATTATGAATAAAATCTTCGAAGAGCGCATGAAATAGTCCAGAACAAGGCCTAATTGCCAATTTTCAAACTCTCAAATTGTTGCAAAAATTTTTTGGAGTTAAATTTTTTAAACATTTGGAATCAGGAATTGGAACAATCAAGCTTTTATTCTGATTCAAGTGTTTTTATAAAATGTCAACTAAAGAAGTTAATCTGTTTTAGTGTGAACTAAGTTTGTACAAAGGTTCAGTTAGTTGATGGAACAATAAACGTCTTTTAAAAGTGTAAGTGGTTGCTATGCCAGAAATATTGGGAGATATGTAGCAAATTGAATAATTATTTTACCCAAGGGACATCGGCACATCTAATTGGTATTCCAACTTTGAAAAAATTGCTGCAAAACTTCTAACGAATCTTCACTTGTGGACAAAACTCAGCAAAAATTCAAGTTTTCACTCTCTTATAAATCTGCTTTCAATTTCCATCTTGGACAATTTTTTTCTCAATTTACAGCAAAACTTTACAAAAACTAAAAACAAATGATCAGAAATACCCCCTATGAAGTTATCACTATTTGATTTCAAGGAATTGCCAATTCAGTCCGGATCTAAAAATGTCAGATTTCCCTAAGTGCACATAAGTTTAGCCTCGGATTATATTCATTATCGAATAAACGGAGTAAAAAGGTGGTCTTGGGACGTTGAAGTATTTGCCGTCAAGCAACCGTCAGTGGGGACTTTTTCTACTTTTCGTTGCCTTATAGATTCTGGGCTAGTGTTACATTTCTTAGTTTCCTTTTTTTGCTTCCATGCCCTTAATTTTTTCGATTTCATGGACTTATAAAATTGCTCTCAATTAGTTGTACTACTTAACACTTGACACAGGCGGGTCAAAATTGGCTAACCTAGTGACTTTTTATTGTTTTATTGACCTTGTCATGCGATACATCGTGTTTCTTCTCTTACAGCAGACTCAATTCCAGTATCGCTGTACGAAATTAATACGACGGATTAGCTTGCCTCAATTCAAATTGGAACGAGTGTGTTGTGCAGTGAAATTCGCCACATATAGATAACTTGCGTTACCTTTTCAGCATTATGAATAGTATTTTCAAAGAGAGCATAAAATAGTCCAGAGCATGGCCTAACTGCCAATTTTCGAACTCTCAGATTTTTTTAAGAGTTGATTGGAGTTAAAACATTTCGTTTTTGATTTTGATTTAAGAAAGTAGAACATTCAAGCTTTCAAGTTAATCTGTTTTAGTGTGAACTATTTTTGTACAAAGGTTTTGTTTGTTGCTGAAACAATGAACGTCAATTATAAGTGTAAGTGGTTGCTATGCCAGAAACATTTGGAGATATGTGGCAAATTGAATAATTATTTTATCCAAGGGACATAGGCACATCTAATTTTTATTCCAACTTTGCAGAATTTGCTGCAAAAACTTCTGAGTAATCTTCACTTCTGGACAAAACTCAGCAAAAATTCATGTTTTTACTCTCTTATAAATCTGCTTTCAGTTTCCATCTTGGACAAATTTTCCTCAATTTATATCAAAATTTTACAAAAACTAAAAACAAGTGATCAGATATACCCTCTATGAAGTTATCAGCATTTGCCAATTCAGTACGGGTCTAAAAATGTCATATTTCCTTAGGTGCACATAAGTTTTGCATCGGAGTATATTCATTATCGAATAAGAGGAGAAAAAAATAGTCATGGGACGTTAAAATTGAGCTAATCATTATGGAAGTCTTGCTAAACTCGGCTGTTTCTAATACTTTCACGCAGTTTGAAGCTCTTAATGCAGATAAAAATTATGGCACATATCCGGATCAAATTGGCAACTTAGTTTTGTTAATTTCCTAGACGGAGCTCTGATCATTTGCGCTTTGTCTTTATAAAAATTCGGATGAAATTTGAAGTAAAGGAATGACCAAAATGGACATCGTAAACAGGCATTTTAGAGAGTATACCAAAAAATTAATTGCGATTTTTTTGTTCAGTAGTTTAGGAAAAAACTAAACAAAAATAGCTCAGCAAGCTTTCCGAGTACAATAAGATGTAAGTGGAAACAATTTAAGTACAAGCATTTCAGTACGAAAATACAATGATTTAAGTACAAAATTTGTTCCTCTAGGTTTTACTTATTTTTCATTAGAAAAAGGCAAATGAACCAGATATAAATGAGATTCAATTCTGCTACACTAACATGAAATTGCAGTAGAGCTCTGATTTGGGTGTTATCAAATTTTAGTTCAAATATTTTTATCGACTCACTTCATTATTTTGGTCGGAAAAACAAAAAAGTGCAACTTTCCTCGACACTTAAATAAATATTTATTTTTTTTTCAAAACCAGAAGTGCGACCGAAAGGTTTTAATAGAACACCATAAACGCCCATTGTAGGACTTTCTGTGGAGGTAGTTAAAGTGCATTGAAAAAAAATTGAACCTACGCGATAAATGCATCGAGCAAAAACTAAATATATCTTTTTACTCGACAAAAGAATTGAAAAGATCTTTCTGCTCCTTTTATTTCTCAATTTTTGCAAAAAAACTGGGCCATTTTTTGACTTAATTATGAAATTGTTCATTAAGAAAAGACAGTCTTCTACACTTTTAAAAAGCTCTTACATTTCAAAAAAGCCTTAACTGACATCAGGGGCGGATCTAGGATATTTTTCTCGAAGGGGGGGGGGGATTTTCAAAAAATTTTCGAGAATTTTGACTCTTTTTTTAGGTCGACCAAATTGATTTTTGGAGCTCTCCTACGGCGCTAAAAAGACGCTGTTTCGGGCTCTTTTTCCTTTTCCCCCCACCTCACTCAAACATGAATTTTATGGTCTAATGAGAGATGTTTTACAAGGTTAATTATGGAGACCAAATATGTTTAACATGGCCTAATTAGTCTACATGCCAATTTTCATGACACTCGGACAAAGTGAACAGAAACTTCAAATATAAAAATTTGCAGGTGGGGGGGAAAAGGAAAAAGAGCCCTGTTTTGGACAAATTGGGCACTTTTTTGGGCACTTTTTGGAAAATTTTCACAAAAAAAATCGCTTTTTTTGGCGCGCGCTACCCCTCAAAGTTATTATATATTGGCGCCCCTGACTGACATTGCAATTCGGCTGATATATACTGTCTGCTTGCCAGTTTGAAACAAGGTCTGTTTCTGAAACAACTGGATTGCCCACCAAAATATCACTGCGAGGGAGCTTAAGCCACTTTTTAATTATCTATCAAATCACCTTTTCGCTTCAATGACTGGTAAAAGTATGTGCCTAGCACCAGTTTCTTCTGCGTTTGAGTTCATTGTGGCATTTGATATACTCGAATGCTGATTTCCTACTAGCGAGGAGTGTAAAAAATGATGCTTTCTTGTATCCTCTTGTACCCAAATGGGGGGCAGGGACCTTTTCAGGGCCAGAAGGTCACCCTTCGACGCAAACGGTTCTCGTTCCAAAGATGCAGATACAAGAGTGTTTTGAGCCGAGGAGAATCTAACGAGTCTGGAGTGTCGCATGGAGTCCAGACATGGTTGTTCTTCGATGAACTTGAACACTCTCGACTCTTGCATGTTGCTGGGGTCTCCTGATATGCCACCGCGTCTACCCGATGCACTTCTGTCGAACCTCTGCAAAAAGCCGTGTAAATAACGTTAGTCAAAAAACAAATAAAAATCCGATATGTAATGATGAAATATAGTTTTATAGAACCTTTTTTTGTAATTAAGATTGTAATCTCAAGTCAAACTTAAAACTTTGTTCATGATTCTATCAAAGCACCTCACGTGAAGTAACATGGCTGTAATTTTTCCAAAGAATTTAAGTAGTTAAAGTATAATTTTACATGCCTGAAGGATGGGAATGGGGTTTAAGAAAATATCCATGTTTAATTTTAAAAGAGAGAGGACTCACAAATGGGATCTTCTGTCTGACTAAGTTCCATCTGATCTCGGCGTTCTTGCTCATACTGAGGGCCCTAGTCCACTTCATGATATTCATCACGTGTTTCACCACCCCCTTGAAGGTAGATGCTCTGGTGCAGTTCTTACGGTTACCATTCAGTCCTAAATAGCACTCGTAGTTTTCAACTTGACTCAGAGATAGTGTTTCAGTTAAGACCGAACTTCCTCGATAAAGCAACAAGTTTTAATTACTGCCAAGTTTCACTTACGCCGCAACAGGAAAAAAAACAATACTGTAAAATAACTGTGCAAGCGTCACGTTAACTCTAGTCCAAAATTGTTGAATACTGACACAGAGCATTTTTCGGACTTTCATATTCTGATCATAGCAAAATCAATGATTACACAGAGAAAATACAATAATTTGTATGAAAATTGGATCAAGTTAACATCTCAAATATATTAGTTTATAATCGAATAAAAACGGATTATATTGCTACTTATTTCCATGCAAAAAAAGTCCATTTTAATCGATTATAATCGAACAATTTTGGAAATATTTTCTGCAAAATTTTAGTTGAATTGCAATCCATTTGAAATCGATTATAGTCCATTCTTATTCAACAACTTTCACCGTTCCAATTTGCTTTTTAGTAGTAGTGCCTTTGAATAGCGCGACACCAAAAAGTGCACGATAATATAGTTTTTGTGATATTAACTGGGACGAGTCATTGAGACCTATCCAAGGTACAGCCCATCACCTAGACGATGTAAGTAGGCCGAAAAAAATCAAAGCATCAGGTCGAAGTCATATTAATAACTTGTAAATGAAATTTTTTTTATGATTCGATGCCAGCTGTACCTCAGAACTACGGTAAAAGTTCAATCTCATCACATTTAGGACCGCAAAAATGAGACTGCGGGACTTTTATTGGGGCATATCTGATGCCGCTCAGCTTCTCGGAAATTTTTGTTTAGTTTATATGGTCCGGAGTGGTAGTAAGTATGGTAAATGGTTTTCAGGAAAAAAATTATAAGAACACTAGATTTGAAATCTATAATATTAGGAAACTCGATTTATAAACCCTGGAAACGTTTTAAAATACACTTTTTTGCTGGTGAAAACTATTTAAATTTTTTTGAGCGGATTAACTGAGATCAGAATATTTTTTTGACCTATTGCAAATTGAAAAACATCTTCCAGTGAGTAGAATTTGAAATGAAATATTTAATCAAGTACAAACTCAAGATAAATCAAACAATCAGAAGGTAAAATGTTTATGATAGCCAATAAGTGTTTGAACATTTGGTCATATTTGCGCCCCTATAAGTGTCTTACTTTGTGTCCTTATGTGCCCTCCTATAAGTGTTTGAATATGTGTCCCTATTTGTTCCCAAGTGTGTGTCTGAACATGTGTCCCTATGCGGGCACCTAAAAATGTCTGAATAGAACCCTCTTTGATTGTTTTTATAATGTTGGTGACTAATTTAAAAAAAAAAACTTTGCAACATCTTGAGTTAAAATAAAACAAATTTTTCGCTTGTGATCATTCTGAAGTAACTGACAGTTTAAAATAGACAAAACTTAAGATCTTAGAAAAACTTTAAATAAACGCAAAAAATTGATATTGGCACTGCCAAAAATTCTAGCGTGTTTTTTTAAAACATTTGTTGAAACAATTCTAGATAGTTTTTTTTCAGTTATTTTTGCGCGTTATCTTTGTCCAGGTTTCCTTATATCATTTCTGGCGGATTAACTGTGCAATTCGACGCCCCTCCTCACATGGATTCGACGCCGAAAGGGACACCCCTCTGGTACTATTGTACGATATCTATGAGAAAAAAAAACACGAAGAAGTGCAACAAGGAACTGATTTTTCTAAAAAAAAACATATTTTTTAGTGAAGCATCAAAAATTGCTTTTAATGGATTCTTGTGAAGAAAAATGATTTTGATGGACGTATGTTGACAAAAAAGTGGATTTTAATGCAAGAAAAATTGCTTATAATAAATATTGTAATAATGAAGAAAATTAATTAAAAATGGGTTTCAGTCCTGAAACTGAGATATATATTCGATTATGTTGTGCAATATTTTTGTCACTAAAAATCCATTATAATCGATTATTATCGATGAAACTCCAGTGCGGAGAAAAGCAAAATCTCGATTTTTTTTCAGTTTTACGCCGAATCATTGTAGATAAAGCTCTTTTTCATAAATGACCCCAGTACTGCAAATAATAATTAAGCTTGGATTTATGAACATATAAGGATCAGAGATGGCTAAGTTAGATCTATTTTACAGTTATTTATTTAGAAATTTTAATGTTACTATTCTAGAACAGCACTGTTTAACTCTGAGACGTCAACCCGGGTTTCGTTAAACACAACTACTAGAAGGCTTTTCGGAAAAATCTGGTAAATAGAATTAGGGAGGGGTAGAATATTTTTCAATTATTCTAGCTCTTCGCTTTTAATTGTCTGTAAACAAAACCAAAAATATTGATACCAAAAGGGTTGCAGCAAAATCGACAATTCAAATGGTTTCAAAGAGATGTTTTGTTTGACCTCATCGGATTTTTATTTGTGCTACCTGGAATTGTGTAGAAAACAAACTCGAATCCAAAGTTCCTCCACATAATCGGTGGTCGGAACAAGTAAACGTGACAGCAAGTTTTTTTTCATGTTTTGTTTATTACAGTAAATATGCCAACTCGCCCGTGGAAAAAACAATGTCTCACACAGGGGCGGATCTAGGATTTTCTCGAGGGGGGGGGGGCGGATTTTTAAAAAATTTTGAAAATTTTGTCGACATTTTTTAGGTCGACCAAATTGATTTTCTGAGCTCTCTCAAAGCACTACAAAGACCCTGTTTTGGCCGAAATTTCTGCGCCACAGTCAAAAATTTGAAAAAACAGGGCAAAAAAGGCGTTTTTAGGCGTTTTTTGGAAAAATTTTACCAAAAAGTCGCGTTTTTTTGGCGCGCGCTCCCTTCTCAAAATTAGTATATATTGGCGCCCAAGGCGCCATTAGAAAAATTTTAGGGTCCGTCACCAAAAATGGATATCTCAAAATAGTACAAAGGGGGACCTTTGGTTCGGCAGGGGGTCGAATGCCTGAGAAGAAAGGCGTCCGCCCCCCCCCCTAAATCCGCCCCCCCCCCCCTCGAGAAAATCCTAGACCCCGCCTGGTCTCATACATGTTTTGTTAGAAGAATTTTGGCAAGTAGAAAAGACCATACCTATTCCGATATCGGCTTCTAACTTCTCCATCTTAACCCGGACGGGATCGATTCCCCGGGTCTCCATCCTTTTGCAGTCGTGGAACTCGAGAATCACCCGATCTTCACTCACTCGGCATTTCTCTACTTCGCCCAGTTCTGAAATCAATCGAATCTGTAATTATCAAAATTAATGATTTTTTTAAATGAACCCTTAAGAAAGTATACACTCCTAAAATAAAAATCAAAAGTAATAATTTTTTAGCTACATGCTGGGTGAGAGGGAAGCGTGGTATCCGAGGATTGAAGAAATTAAGAGCCAATTTATCTATTATTATACCTGAATATCTTGGGATGCTTTTTCTTGAGTAAGATATCTTAATCTTCTAATTACGTGCAGTATCTTCATTTTTTTTTAAATTCTATTTCTAAGAAGTCAAACTTATAATAGGAATAAATTTGTAGACACCACTCGCCTAACAATGGAAAATTTTTGAATTCAGATGAAGGTTTTACATAAAACTTTGGAAGGAAAAGCATGGCATGTTTTCTATTTGAGCCAAAATTGGTTAGATAAACTGACCATGCATTTCTCTGATGAAATCTTTCTTCAGTTTTTCGACCATCCCAATTTTGCGCAATTGAATTCTGCGCATGTTAACCTCGTGGTCTCCGGCTTCCCCTTTCATTGTGATTGGTCGAAATTTCACCCTATTAGCAGGCCTCTCTCTCCTTTGCTTTTGAACATCTTCAGGTGTCAAACTGGGTTTCATAAGAGGAAACGGCAAATCTTGATTTCTCAATTTGTAGATTTTGGAGGCCTTCTTTGTGTTTTGCATTTCCATATTCGCTTTATTCATCAGTTTCTGATCTTTTTCTGCTTGTGTCATTACTTGTGTCAATGTTTTTGATTTAGCGTACAGTTCAATATTGTCGATTTGAGGACATTTTTGGCTCAGCTCTGAAAGCTTTTCCAACTTTTTATACGACAGCGGAGCTCTGTAACGTTTTAACCCCGTTCTCATAATACGATGGTCGACCGATTTGTTATTCTGATCTCGATTTTGAGGATCCCTGTAGAAAGATTCTACTTTCGATCGGCTGAACTTTCCACGTAAATCGACTCTAACGTCCCAAATATTGAATTCGTCGTTGACAATGTGCAAGTTGCGATTTCGATCGAAAGTCGGAACTGTTTGAAGATATTTTTTCTCATAAACTTCATTTTGTCGAATCGCATGATTAACGTACGATGTTTCTTTCCCGCCAGAATCCCTGCGTTTTTCATTCATTTTTCGGATGGTACACAATTCAGATAAGAGTTGGTACTATAACTCCTTATTTACAATAATATTGGGCTGATACTTGCTGTAAATTGAATATAATTTTCCGGTTGTTATGGCGTATGCGTGTTCTGTTTTTATTTTGAAATTTTTGTCTTGCAATAAAATGGTGATTGGTTTTGAACAAAAGATGCCACTGTGATTTTGATGAAAAGAGGAAAAATGGTTGTTCCACGTTTTATGCTACAAAAAGGCATCAACACGAACAACGAAGCGAAAAAACAAGGAATATGAAAATTTTCGCAGCAATTCAAATAAGACAAGTATGCAAGTATGTATCGTTTTTTGGTTTTTTCAGCCCCCCCCCCCCGAATTTGGTGTCTTTTCGGCTATAACCCCTTCTACTATGAAAAATGAATAAAAAGAATTGATTCCATCGATATTGCTATCAAACACAAGGCTGACACACAGAGCTTTAAATCATCTCGGAAAATTGCAAAAATGGGAATTGAACGGCAATTCAGAACAAATTTGGACACATTTCTGTGATTTTTTTAAACTTAAGCGGTCAAAATGCCAAAATTTGTAAAGTCTTGAAAGATTGTATCAGTTTGCAAGATAAAACACTAAAAAAAATTTCATTTACAGACCAGAGCTTATGGTTTTTTTTTTTTTAAATATTCGGCCCAAATTCGCAAATATCAGAACATGTCAGTGAAGCACAAATTGAACAATGCGTTCGAAAAAGAAGGAATATGTAGAAAGGTTCCTGATAACGTCTGAAACTTGCTTGAAAGTAGTATGGTCGTGTCCCGGATCAGAAGGGTGGGGTCTTTCCTTAAGGGGTCCTCACGGACAGCAAAAACCTAAAAGCTGGGTCGTTAATTTTTTGAAGGAACTCTATCCTAGGTTTTTTAAAAGAACGAAAGTTCCAACAACTTTAGTAGAATAGCCCCTACTGAGGATCTTGATAAGCTTAGCTGAACAACAAGAGACCCAATACATAATTTTTTCCAATTCCCCCTTAAGCGGGGCCATATACTTTACCGCAGAGTATTAATTTTTGCAAATAAAACAAATCGTCCAAATGCTTGAACTTTTCTTTTTCGCCCTAGTTTTATGAAGTTTGTTTCTTTTATTTTTTCAGTCAGCTTTTACTCTCTCTAAGTGTCGGTAAACGTCGTCAGTATTTATGGCAAAAAAACTATCCGTGTCCGATTACAGCAGTTTACAAGCTGTTTACAGTCGGCTGCGTCGTTCGACATCCGTGTTACAGACACTGACGCTCCGTCTTACCAAAACCGCAATCCCGTGAATGTACTGAAAACTGCAGAGATTGAGAAGAAAAATAAGTATGGACCAGCTTGTGAAGAAAAACACATGTCTTTCACTCCACTTGTCACTTCAATAGATGGTGTTTTGGCACCGGAGTTCACGTTTTTCCTCAAACGACTAGCAGATGGTCTGGCATCAAAATGGGACCGCCCATATAGTCATGTCATGTGCTGGGTGAGATGTAGAAATTCATTCGCTATACTAAGAGCAACCAACATTTGCATCAGAGGCACAAGATCCAAATGGTGATCCCTCGGCGTTGAGGACGGTTACACAATTGGAATGGCATTCTAAATATTCACACGGTTTTAACTGGGGCTTTCGTCGCGCATAACTGACTCCTCTGATATTAGAATTTGGACACCATTTGTATATTATTTGCATGTTCGAAGATAAAAACACAGGATGATAACTGTGAACAAGCAACGAAAAACTTTTCCTACCACCATTCGAAACCAATTTAATTTGATTTTAAGTTTACAAGCTAGACTCGGATCTAATCTTTGGCAATGAAATCGAAAACTGAATTTTTTCGCAAAATCTAATATAGTCGCACTAACTATCATGGGTTTGTCCCATATAATCTTTAAAAATTGGATGTGGCAAAGTAGTGCTTTTGAAAAAATTCCTTCTCATTCCTCTAATTCTTCCGCTTCTTTCTTACTAACTTAGGCTCCATTGCTTTGTCGAGTGCTGTATGAACAATCAGCTTGTGAAACATCACTTAGAATTTTTTACCGTAGCTTTTCACAGGCAGGTTTCGGAGGTCAAAAAAGATTGCGACCCAGTTAATCTGGTAGAACTGAATGTTTTTCGAGACGACAATTTTTCATTCCCAGCTTGTGGTTCAAGTCTAGAAAAAACTATTGTTAAAGACATAACATTCTTTAAGGTGCAAAAACTGCCGAAGTTTTGGCAGTTTTGGCAGTAGGGTGATTTATGATTTTCATACCATGTCGATTTGCTTGATGCTCATTGAATTAATGTCCCCTATTTCTAGAGGGAGAGCAATACAGCAATCAGCGATGAAGTCATGAAGACTCTCGGTTATGGCCAAATTGACTCCTTTTTAAAAACCCATTAGGAGGTTTCCCTGATGAGAAGCATATCTTCTATGCTTGCTTAAACTACTTGCAAAATTTTTATGGGTAATATAAAGCGTTCCATTTATTTCAGTGTTTTTATGGGTAATATGAAACGTTCCATTTGTTTTAGTTTTATTTTGCTCTTTAAAATTGGCGCGCGGAAAACTGACGATTTGTTTCCTTGTATCTTTTGCTGCACAAGGTTCAGATGTTCGCAATCCGTTAAGAGTTACAGCACGGATTTACATACTAATCAAAAGGCGTCCAAGTAATTGTTACTTGCCGAGAAGTAACACACGCAATCCAGCCAATACAAATTGGCTGGCAAACTCAAGTCATGTATAGTTCGTGGTAATCACCAAGTGAACCTCAATTCAAATCAAACAAGCCACTTACACACCGAACAATTTCCTTCTCCCAATTTCGATAACTGCTTAAGCGTAGCCACACGGCTGATGGCTTACAATTTGTGCGTGTTAAGTTTTTGCAGTTTAAATTTGGGTCCGTTTTCTGGCGAAAACAATGAGTCCAAATCAAAATCATTTGCTCTGGGTACGTATCAACGAGTTGTTATATTCCTCAAATTTTTGGGAACCCTTTTGCGGCTTGGACATTGTAATGAAAACCTCATTGTCTTGTGGCACAGTTCTTGATGTCTCTTCAGAGTGTCTAAGGAAGCGCATGGTGGATTAGAATTAGAATTTTCGTTGGATATATATATTTGAAGATCATTCTCGGAGAAACAGTAATATTTTCTTCTGAAAAAACAATAAATTGAGCTGATCAAAAATGCATCACCACGAATAACGAATAAGAAGATGTAAGTTAGGATGTAAGATCCAAAAAAGATAGAATATGCAGTTTTAATTTGACAAAATGTGTCTTTCTGATAACTTTCAGCCCTCGCCACTTCGCCCCTTGCGCTGAACTGCACATTTTAGCTTAATTTTTTTGTTTTTTCTTTGAAATTAGAAGTACACATTTTAGGGACACAGCCTAACTGTTGAATTGTCGAAACTAGTCAGTCAATTGAACAAATTTTCAACACATTTTTTTTTGTGTTGTGTTGGTTGTTAAGTCACAATACCGAATTCTGAGAAGTCCCAGCTCCTTTTTTATTCACGCGCTATGGCAGTAAATGCACATGAATTGATTTAGCTGGCAGTGCTTTTTGATATTACATGAAACCTCCTCAAGAACCAACTTAAAGATGATTTTTGTTTGTTTGAGATAAATTTGTAAACTTTCGATGTTACACAAAAAACTAGTTTGAAAAATTGTATCAGTTAGCAAATCACTGAAACCAGAAATTATGGAATTTTTTTAAATTTTACAGTCCAATTGTGCATTCAGCGGAATATTAAAACAGAATACAAAATGGCTCAAACTTTCTTGTTTGGAATTGAATATGTCGATGAAGCTTAGTTTGAATTAGGCGTTCAAAAAAGTAATAGGCAAAATAGTTACGTAAAAAGACTCATAGTACCCTGCCAAAGATGCCTGGTAGTTTCCATTGGGCTTAGTTTTCGACATAATATGAACTTTTCAAAATAGCTTTAATGAAATATGTCCTAAATTCGTCGACATTCTGAGTACGAATGTGATACAAAATCTTGCTTGTTTTTTTTGTAGTTGAAGAGTTAAAAAAATGACAGCCTTGGCTAAATTGAGATGATTAAAGCGCGCGATTTTTCAATATCTCTTGTAACGCATAGCAGAAACAGCGATATGATCTGACTCACGAGACAAATAAAATTGAATTAAGGAACGCTAATTGATTGCGATACTATTATTTTTCTCCCCAACAATACAAATTTGCCAATTCTTACTAAGGAGTTTGCTTCTCTTAAACCTAAAAATAGCATGAAAAACTTACTTTTTGCATCAAGTACGGATCTTTGTTTTTGCGGGTAAGCGGATTTTCAAGTTTTTTTGAGTTTAATAACTTAATTCAGTGTCGACGAAGTTTTTTCCAATGACTCCTAATAACCGTTTTGAAATCTAAGCGCTAAAACAAGACTGCTCGTTTATCAGGGCAAAGCCTTGAATGTTCAGACTGTCCCTTATTTCATATCGAATAGTTTTTGGGAAAAGAAAATATTGAAAACCAATGCATTTGGAACAATATCAAAGTGAAAAATTTTGAGACGTACGAAATTAATACGACCAATTAGCTAGTCTCATTTCATTTTGGAACGATTTTGTTGAGCGTGATAATTGGCCGCGCATAAATAATTCGCGTTACGCGCTCAGCATTATGTATAAACTTTTCAAAGCGCGCATAATTTAGCCCAGAATATGAAAAATTTGTTTTTGTTCGAATTGTTCTTTGTTTTTGTGCATACCAGTTTCGATTCATTAACAATTTTTGGATTTCTTATGTTTTTTGTTCCGACTTTTGTAACGAAAGTAACGGAATATTTGTGCTCGGGGTTGATTTTTTTTCAGACAAACTTCGATTTTTAACTATCCGTCTTTGACGGAATTTATTTTATATCATTGAAAAAGTATTGTCTTGAGCTTAAAAATTCTTGCACTTGTGATCAATTTTCGTAAAGTTATGGGGGTTTAAAGATGTCCCAAATTGGGGGACAACTAACGCGCGATATATTTCGCGCTATTAACGCGTAAGCGTAGATTAAATCCGTCTTAGAAATTAAAGTACTTGTTGAATTTGTGCTCCTGACAAGTATCGGTAAGATTGTATAAGTTTGTAAATATTAACTATACAACAAACACCTTAGCGCTCCAGCATTAATATTCTGCTTTCTTCAATCATTGCAATTACAGTGCTTAGAAAACGACCTGAATTTGGCTGTCTTTCACAATTAATCTAACAAAAGTAACAAACTTTTATTTTTTGGCAAAATTTTTTAATGATGATTATTTCAAATTTTTGAATTTTCAAATTATCAGACATTGATCAAGGCATACATTAACACCCCATACAAAGGAAATATGAGTTTTCAGCGTTTTTGAAAAAACAATTTAACTGAAAAGAAAATAAAAGCCAATTTTATTGTATCCAGGACTACGTTATGCACACAAAATATTAAGTTTTGCATGCAAAAAATTTTTTTCGAAAAGTGTTTGTTTGCGTACGAAATTCGATTTGCGGTTGGGCCAAATTTTCAAAATTACTTGAAACATTTTTTGTGTCGTAATCAAAAAAATGCCAGTCATACAATTTCCATATATGGGAATTGTATGATGAGCATTTTTTTCAAAAAACTAAAATCTCAGTTTTTTATCACCAGACTGTTTTATTAGAATCAAACAGCAACAGAAATAAGTTTATACCAGTTTTCAACCATTTTAAGAAATTGTATGAAAATTGTATGACAAGCATTTTTCCACACACTTGATGTATGGAATTTGTATAAAAAGCATTTTCGGTGTATGGAGGTCAACCCGGGTTAATTATCCCAAATTGGCAATCTTTAAACCCCCACAACTTTACTAAAAATGGGCACAGGTGAAATATCTTTTCAAATTTAAGCTCAGGACAGCAATAGCTTTCGAATGATAGAAAAAAATTTTTTTCAAAAATGGCTAGTTAAAAAGTCTAAATGTCTGAAGAAAAAACCACCCCGAGCACAAATATTCCGTTACTTTCGTATCGAAAGTCGGATTAAAAAGCATGACAACTTTCAGACCTTGCAGAGAGTAGTTTTCTTCGGTACTACTCGGTCTTTCAGTCTGTTTTTCAGCTCTGTATCACTGTTTTAGGGGAAGCATCAAATGATCATTTTCTCGCTCAGCAAACATCAACTACAGCAGAACTCTGCTACCTGTTACAAAACCTTTATCAAATGTTCAATTGAACTGTTATAATTAGTAGATGTATTCAATACACATTCATATTCAGATTAGTTACATTCCTCCCGGATAATTAGAATCGACTTCATGTAAATATTGCGACAACAGCATACACCTATCAATCACTTCATCTTCATTGTTTGGACAGTCTTTTTTCCGGTCGCAGAACTTGTACATCGGAACACAATTACTCCTGGCATCATCTAAGTCGCATTTGGCTTCTCCGGGGGGACAATCGGACTCTTCGCCTCTAATCGGAACTCCCGACTGCCAACCAACAGAACTTCCGGATCCCGATTCTGTACGAGCAGGCATCCAGGATCCAGAGTTCACATTTCCAGGGTTCATATGTCCAGGTGTGTTGCCACCCGTGTTTGATTGTGACGCTAGCCATGGCTCCTGACCTTCGAAGTAGTTGCAGCCAGCTTCATCGGATCCGTCGAGGCAATCCACTGTTTTATCGCATACCAACCTAAGCATTTATTTTAGCTCAAATTCACCGTGACGGTCTGAAGACGGAGGGCGTCGGTTTTTAATCTCCGATGCAGCGACGCAATCAACAATAAGTCAATTATCTTAACTGTTAGTCAATTATTTCAACTCTGTCAATTATTTTTTTTTGGCTTAGACACGATTATAACTCATATCCTTAAATGATTAGGCTATTTGTGTTCTGCGTAGAAAGGTTTTCCTTAATTTTCCATTAAGTTTTCCTTATCTCTATACACAATTGAACATTTACTACAGCAAACATTTACCTGTTGGCAATGCACTCCCCAGTCTGGATGCAAGCAAACTGATTTTTTCCAGTACTCCTATCCACAGGACACGGTGTTTCCCTCAAGGGTCCTGGACCAACGCCACCAGCACCTCCAGGTACTTGAGACCCAGTATCAGCTCCCCCACTGACCCCGGTGCAAAACAGCTCATCTTCAGAATTGGCACAGTTCGAATACCCGTCACAGATCTAAGGAGCCAAAAACTGGATTACAACTTTCGTTGCTTTTTGCTATTTGGAATGGAGGTTTTATCCAGGATATGAAATCCGTAGACAAAAGCTTGCTAACTTATTCATTTCGTTATTCATCACCTGGTCAAAAGATATGCAGCATGAGAAGTCTGTACATGTGTATTCTCTGCAATCCAGTTCTACCTTCTTGTCGCCACCTTAAAACAAACCTTAAAATCACATGCGTTGAATCACTTAAAATTCTTCCACGAGAAAAGACCACTAAAGCAACAGCAAATGAGCACATCTATAGGCATCAGGTCAAAGTGCAAGAGCTGAACGCAACTCGGTTATGCAATAGGGCTAATACTTTGTGTACTTGTGTACTTGCCAGTATTAAGACATGAGCTGCTCATGAGAAGGTATGGAAGTTTTAGCGAGTGAGAAGCGCTTACACAATACTAACAACACCCAGGCAACTGAGACCCAGATTTCAAATCAATTTTTACGTTAATTATTCCATTAGTATTGTTCCCGCGTTTTACTCTTGGGCACGTCACGTAACGCTCTTAGACCATTTAGGTTATTGCTAAGCCTCAAACCATGTTCTTATAGCATCCTAGCATTTAGCTGATCAAATCTTTTACTGAAAATTCGAAGCCAACTTAAATGGTTACCTCCACTGGGCTTCGTGCACAAAGTAACTCCCTCGTCCGAACCATCCGAACAATCTCTTTCTCTATTGCACACGTCATCTATACGAATACACTCGCCACTTCCACATGCAAACTCCACTCCAAAAGTGCATTGGCGAGTTGACACCACATGGCGGCCTCCGCTAGTCTTCGTTCTTCCAGCGGTTTCTGTTTTTTCTTTAGACCATCCTGCCTTTTCATTCGACTCCCTTCCACTAGGAACTGCTGCTGGTTTTCTGCTGTTATCACTAGCCTCATTTTTAATCATGTTAAGTATTGATGTTAACTCGTGCGTTATATTTACAGTGCTCAAACTATTGCTAGATTGTGTTGGCATTTGACCTCCATTAGCAGGCATCACAAAAATTTGAAGGGATCCTCCGCCACTTCCGCCTGTTCCACTTCCTCCCGTTCCACTTCCGCCCGTGCCACTTCCTCGACTTCCCCCCTTGTTTCCGGAACCCTTGCCACTCTTTCCAGAATTATCGGGACAGTTGCCATTTTCATCATCGCCGTCCGGGCAATTCCAGAATCCGTCGCAAACACAAGTTTCCTTAATGCAAGAGCCATCCCTGCACTGGAACTGATTTTGAGCACATTTTTTGCTGCAGAAATTGCCTTCGTCTTCCCCTTGTGAGCAATCACGTCTACCGTTGCAAACTTTCGAATCTGGCAAGCAAGTTCCATCCAGGCAAACAAACTCAGTTGAGCCGCAAATTTCTGGCGGCAAAATAGGGTTCACTGTGCAAAATCTACCTTCATCCTCGCCCATTTTGCATTGAACTTTACCGTCACAAACCGCGTATTCTGGAATACATTTTCCATCGTGACACATGAACTGACCTTTACCACATCTCGCTGTCGGGGGTTTCACACCTTCTGGGCAAAACGGCCCTTCGTCCTCGCCTTGCCAACAGTCTGTTTTCCTGTCGCACACTTTTGAAGTCGGGATGCACGTTTGGTCGTGACAGACGAATTCGTCACGTCTGCAAGGAGGGGGAATCGGGGGCAAGGGTCGATCGGTCCTGCAGAAAGACCCTTCATCCTCACCCGATCTGCAATTCCAGTTTCCATCGCAAACTACTCTCTCCGAAACGCAATATCCATCTTCGCACATGAACTCCGAGATCCCGCAGACCGGTTCCCGTGGTTCTTTTGGCGACGGAGGACAAAAAGGACCCTCGTCTGCGCCTCCGAGACAATCGGCTTTACCATTGCAAAGGCAACTGTAGGGTATACAGGACTTATCGGGGCAAGCAAATTGGTTAGAGCAGATGGGCCGGGGAGGAGGAAGAGGTGGAAGGGGTTTGCAAAAATCGCCTTCGTCCTCGCCATATGGACACGAGGGATATCCGTCGCAAACTTTGGATGTGGGAATGCAGCTTCCATCTTGACATTTAAACTGGTTGGACGCGCAGATTTTCGGAGGTGGGATCGGAGGTGAAGTTGGGCAGAATTCAGCTTCATCTTCTCCCCTCGAACAGTGTGTATAACCATCACAAACATACCTCATATCAATGCATGTTTTATCTCCACAAGTGAATTGGTGCGCCGGACAAGTTGGTTTCGGGGGCGGCAACGGCGGCAATGGGGTGCAGAACTGCCCTTCATCTTTGCCCGACGGACAGTCAGGATAGCCGTTGCACACTTTGCTATTCGGGATACATTGTCCATCTCCGCACATAAATTGTTGAGGTCCACACAAGGGTGTCGTTGGCACAGGAGGCGCTGTCGGACAAAACTTGGCTTCATCTTCGCCGTTTCGACACTGGACTCTCCCATCGCATACATCTGTCATCGGAATGCAATTGTTGTCGTCACATGTGAACTCATTTTCGAAACAAGGAGGCGGGGGAGGTGGCGGTGGTTTCAAAGGCGTACAGAACTGACCTTCATCAGATGAGTCAAAACAGTCGGGTTTTCCATCACAAACATAATATTCCTGAATGCATACCCCATCACGGAAACACATGAACTCTCCGAGCTCACATTGCTTGGGTCGAGGGGGAGGTGGCTTGGTTGGGCAAAACGAACCCTCGTCGTCACCAGAAACACAATCTGGTTTCCCATCGCATAGTAATCGCATCGGAATACAAAATCCATTCGAACATGTATACTCATTGTCGGCACATAGTTTGATAGGTTTCGGTGTGGGTAAAGGTCGGCAAAAGGAACCTTCGTCCTCGCTATCAGGGCAATCGGGATACTTGTTGCAAACCAGGTCTGCGGGAATGCAGAGCCGACTTTTACCACACATGAACTCATTAAGGCGACACTGTTTAATCGTAGGTGGTGGGATCGTAGGGCAGAATCTTCCTTCGTCAGAACCATCGTGGCAATCTTGTACTCCGTTGCATACACAACTCTCAGAAACGCACTGACCATTGGAACAAGTGTATTCGTTCTGCCGACATCGTTGGATTGGAGGCGGACGAACCGTGGAGCAATATCGACCTTCATCAGAACCATCATCGCAATCTCTTACTCCGTTGCATAAACAACTCTCAGAAACGCACTGACCATTGGAACATGTGTATTCGTTCTGCCGACATCGTTGGATTGGAGGCGGACGAACCGTGGAGCAATATCGACCTTCATCAGAACCATCATCGCAATCTCTTACTCCGTTGCATAAACAACTCTCAGAAACGCACTGACCATTGGAACATGTGTATTCGTTCTGCCGACATCGTTGGATTGGAGGCGGACGAACCGTGGAGCAATATCGACCTTCATCAGAACCATCATCGCAATCTCTTACTCCGTTGCATAAACAACTCTCAGAAACGCACTGACCATTGGAACAAGTGTATTCGTACTGACGACATCGTTGGATTGGAGGCGGACGAACCGTGGAGCAATATCGACCTTCGTCAGAACCATCGTCGCAATCTAGTACTCCATTGCATACACAACTCTCAGAAACGCACTGGCCATTGGAACAAGTGTATTCGTTCTGCCGACATCGTTGGATTGGAGGCGGACGAACCGTGGAGCAATATCGACCTTCGTCAGAACCATCGTCGCAATCTAGTACTCCATTGCATACACAACTCTCAGAAACGCACTGGCCATTGGAACATGTGTATTCGTTCTGCCCACATCGTTGGATTGGAGGCGGACGAACCGTGGAACAATATCGACCTTCGTCAGAACCATCGTCGCAATCTCGTACTCCGTTGCATACACAACTCGCAGAAACGCACTGGCCGTTAGCACAAGTATACTCATTTTCCCAACATGTAGGCGGCTTCTTGCAAAACAATTCATCAAATCCGTCTTCGCAATCGTTGTATCCATCACAAAAACTTGAGTCAGGAATGCATTTACCTTGAATCACGAAGCACATTGTTCAGAAAGCAATTCTATTATTTCTAGTGCCTTTCTAATTCTTGCAGTTCAATTTTGTTTTAGTTCTATGTTATTTTCAACCACAATTAGTTTTCGGAAACTTTCTATAGTGGCCACCCAATTTTTACCATATTTAGGTGAACGCTTTCAAATTTTGCCTGGGGTGCAGATTTCTCTAATCCGGGTCTTTAATAATCCCTAGATCATCTTTTTTTTTAAATATGTCTAGGTTCCAATAATCCCAATACATCCAAAGCTTAACCCAAAAACCACCAAAAAACATGCAGTTATAGAGTTGCAAAAAGTTCGGGCGGACAGAATTAATTAAAAAGGGCAAACTCTGAATTTAAACTGAGTTTTGCGTGCAATTTTCAAGTTTCAGACAATCTTGAGATTCAAACTTGGCCTAGGAAATTTTCTTCTGCATGCAAAATTTTTCCTTTAAGGTATTGCTCATTTCAAATAAATTTGTCTGTCCGATCTTTTTGCTTCTTATTATAAATCCATAATTGTATGTCTCCATAATTGCATGTCTCAGGGATTGGACCTCCTGCCGACCCACAGGGACCCCACTTTGTAATATTTTGAGATAAGGTCAGTCAGCCAAAAATGGATCTTTAGATTTTTCGCTGAATGACCTTAAAATTTTTCTGAAGGCACCTTTGGCGCCAATCTACACTAATTTTGAGGGGGAGAGCGCGCAAAAAAACGCGATTTTTTGGTCGACGTTTTCCAAAAAGTGTCTAAAAACGCTATTTTAAGCCTGTTTTTCAAAATTTTGCCTACGGCGCAGAAAATTTGGCCAAAACGTTGTTTGTAGCGGTTCTCTTATAGTGGTTTGGGAGGAGTTCAGAAAATCAATTTGGCCGACCTAAAAAAAAGGCCGGTAAAATTTTTGAAATCCCCCCTTCTCCTCGAGAAATTCCTAGATCTGCGTCAGTCTGCATAGCAGCATCACGTTAAATACTTGCAAAATTCTGTCAGCAGAACCAAAATAATTTAAAGAACATTTCAGTCTTCGTATCGTATTAGCCAACCTGAGTTGCACTGAAATGCTCCTGAAGTGCAGATGGTCGGAGGAACAACACATCCATCTTCATCTGATCGATCCAGACAGTCTGGGATATTGTCACACCTGAAACAATTAACATTGAATTGTTTATGTTCTGACTGATGTGGCCTCAAAAAAACAAGGTTTGTTCTGAAAGTTTTACACTGCAACGTTGCAAAAGTTCAACCCTGATTCTTGCTCATTCCGCGAGGTGGTTCACCTCACTACATAAAATTATTTCAAAATTCTAAATAAAGTATTTGGATAACCATTTCAATTTAGGCTGGTAACCATTAAATATATCGTAACAAGCGTTGAATTTGATTTATAAAGATGACGTTACAAATTATTGAAAGGAAGGATAACAAAATTGAGATACCAAATCTACAGCATTAAGTATACTATACAGACATTAATGCCCATCAACTAAATCCACGCTAGCACCCTAGTTAGAACAGCGACGCAAATCTTAAAGCCTTCAGGTGAAAAATTGTACTTGACCTGTACTTTGTGTCGATACAGCCTTTATTATCCGCACATCTGAATTGAGTGGGTCGGCACTTGTCTTCTGGTGTCGGCTTCTCTGGGTAGACGAAACAGTCAGACTCGTCCGACTTGTCGCCACAATCGGACCTTGAGTCGCAGAGGCTGCCAATGCTGATACAGATGACTCCCGAAGAGCACGTGTACTCCGAGGAGCTGCACGGACTTTGGTTGGGAGGACCAGCTCTCACGGTCAAGTCAGTGCCGGAAAGAGATTTCTTCAGGAGTTCCTAGAAAAAAGAACATAGCAACAAATCCCTTGGTTTTTGCAACTTAATATAATAAAAGCTAAAAGAAACCCAAGGTCTCTACTTACGCTTTTCCCTTCGAGTTCCAATTTCCTCCTAGTCCTCAAAATTTGCAGTTTCTTCGCCTCGACATCTTAAAACAAAAACTTGAGCAATAATTCATCCACTCAACAATTTTATTTAGCTCTAGCACTGTTTTATTTATATTGAGAAAGCACTGAAATTCTGTAATTCTTACCTATATCAGTTACATTTTCAGCTTCAGCCTCAACGAGGAGTTCGGCAGGAAACAAACCCAGTATACAAATTAGGTATAACTTAAGGCGAGCCATCGCCAGAAAACGCAAGCTTAGTTGAACAATCCCAGTAATAAAAAAAGTCCTCCGACACAACTTGGTGATAACAATTATACGGTGCTCGGTTAGCGTTGCTGCGAAATTGTGAATTGGATTTGTTGCGAAGGTCAAAGCAACTCAGACAGTACCTGTTTTTGCGGCCAAGGTCAAATTAACTTGCTTATCCTTTTGATATCACTTTCAGCCTGATTCGCTGATTTGAAAACAACCTAATAAATACCCTTAAAAATTTTGCAAATCAGCAGAAGATTCGATAATGTAGCACGATATAAAATTACAAGTGTTCCTTTTCAGAAACTCCCGTTCAGCCTGAAAAACATAACTTTATATTAACTGATTACAGACTTAGAAAGTTACAAACATATTCGAATTTGTCACTGGCAGTGTTTTTGCGTGAAGCTTCTGAAGTGTTTGCTCACATGTTTAAGATCGGAGATCGTACTTTTGTATTTCTGGTTTTGAATACACCAGAACTGACTAAGAAGGCTGCCTAAACAAAAGAAAACCCTTAATTTTACCAAGCTTGCTTCAAATTTGCTTGTGATTTAGACCGAGATGCGCGTATCATCTTGGTTTGAAAAATTCAGAAAGAAAAATGAAAACTGGATGATATTTAGTTACTTCAACTAGAGAAATTAGAACCAGTATTACACCCTAAAGTTCCCCCCTCGAATGACCTTAAAAATTTATGTTTTCGCAGTGTCGAGAAAAACTGGTTCGAAATATTTGAGTTTTGTCTATTATCGAACGAGTTAAGCGAGAGACTCGGGCTCGTATTCTACTTAAGTTTCACCGGGAAATTAAGTTGCTTCATTAAAATTAGTTTTTGAAAATTATTTAACGGCTTTCAGATGAATTAAAAACTTTCTGAAACAAAAAATGAAAATTCGATTTTTTAAATTTTATTAGTTTTTTTCATTTTTCGAGGAAAGCTGTTGCCGAATTTACCTATTTTAGAATAAACCTCAAAACTGACAAATTTCTAGGATTGCACTCCGATCTTATCACACCACGAAATAAGAAACAATTTGAAATATTGAGAGCTTGTTTTATTTACAAGTTGCGGTGGAAATTTTCTGTGCTCTTTGCACAATAACCAGCTGTCGTTGTTAGTTAGTTTGCCCTTATTTGAGTTTAAAAGGTCGAAAACATTGCTCCGAAAGCATTAACTCGGTGACACTGACATCTCAATTTCGACACTCAAATTACTTCTTCTGGATTTTTAACGTATAATTATCTATAATTACCACGCATCACCTAATTAAAAAGCCTTTTACTAAATTCACTTCAATTTTGATTTTTCATTTTGTTTTAATGTCTTTAAATCTATTTTCAGCTTACTTTTGTTAATATTATTTTTTATCTTGGTGGTAAAAAAATTCGATGCTATTTACACAGCAGCCAACTATCTGTTTGTTTTTTTTTTATGTTCTTTTTGAAAAATGCTTCATTGAATTCAAAAAAATCAAGAGCTATCGAAAAAATGAAATTTTTCAATGGCTATTCTCGATTTTTTCAAAAGGACTTGTTTTATCCACCAAAAAAAATAATAGTGGAATACTCTAACACATGCATATTGGTGGAGTATCAGATTCACTATTATAGCTTTTTTAAGTGCAAATTAATAATAAATTATTTTTGATGTTTAAAGTTTTAATATCAAGCAGAACTGTAAAAATGTATTTGACGCAGATTTTTAAAAGGTGAAGCCGCGGTTTGAACTATATTAAAAGATCACGTGGTACAAAATTGTAAAATTAACATCTAAAGAATTGTCCTCTTTTAACAGATTCATGTAAACTAGTTGAAATTTAATAACCTCTGCTCAATTTTAATAGAAACTTTCTCTTCAACATAGCCAATTAAGCTAATTGCTCTGACTCTCGAAAAAATTGACGGAATTTTGTGCTCAGGGTGTTTTTTTATCTTAGCAATTTTTAACACAAGAGTCCAAGCGGAGCTCGTCCAGAACACGTTCAGAAACAAATTAGACTGCGTTTATTGAAATTCAAAACCGTTTATCAAGCAAAAATAAAATTGTTGTCATGAAAAATTTTGAACTCAAAAATCTATTCTGGGATTTTAAACGGTTTGTGCGACCCGGAGGAAAGCATACAAATTATGTTTCCCTCGAAGGACCCAAAATTAGATTAGTAAGCCAATAAAATATAAAATATAAGCCGAAATTATTTAGGTCGAAAGTTTTTAAGCAAAGGTTAGAGGAATTAGAAATTGCAGGACTAAAGGAAAACATTTAAAAAACTAATGAAAACTGCATACGGGAAAAACTCTAAGATGGGGCAACTAAGCTAACATAACATAGGCAGACAATTAATAAGCTGACATTTTTTGAAACTTAAAAACAGCTGGGAACCAGCATAAGGCCAGAAGAATTTCAGAATAACGATCAATCGCTTGTATGGGACATCATTAGGCTAAATGGGGGTTTTTGTCAAAAATTTTAAATTTAACGTGTTCACTCGCGTTTTTTGTGCTAGAATCAAAAAGCTTAAAACAAGTGAAAAAGTACTGAAAAAGTAAATGTTCTCTGTTTTTCTAGTTTTCACTTTGAACAATTACACACAATATTTGTACTAACAGGACGGGTAACAGGAAGGAACTTTTTGTTGCTAAGTATTAGTGGCACTTCGTACCGAACTATTTATACCATTCAATTGACCATTTCCAAGGTTTAATTAGCTCCGGAAAATACTCCGTTAAGAAAAATCCTAATTTGAACCTCCCTAATGTCATTAAACTCCCTAATGTCAAAAATTTTACTAAATGTCAGAATGCGTTGTAGTAATATATTTCAGTTGTTGCACGTTTCTTCCTCCTTCAAAATTGTCCTTTCATTGCAATAGGCCTCCGATAGGTTGCAACCCTCCGATAGGTTGCACAAGCTACATTTCTTAAAGTTTTTCCCAAAGGAACTTTTTTGTGGTATCACTTCCTCCGAACGTTCTGAGATCAAAAAACCAATGTTTATACCAACAAGTGTTTTGCATACAACTAAATAGTCGTTGCCACACATTCATGATCAAACTTTATTGTTTTTACTACGACTTTCGCAACGAAAATGACGGAAAACTTTTGCTCGGGGTGTTTTTTTTTCAATCAAATTTCGACTTTTTAACTAGCCATTTTTGACGGAATTTTTTAAATGTCGTTCAAGAATATTGTTGAACTGAGCTTAAATTTAAAAAGATAATTCACCTATCATCATTTTTCGTAAAAATATGGGGATTTAAAGATTGACATTTTAGGCAATTTGGCACAATTAACGCGCAATATATTTCGCACTATCAACGCGTAAGTGGATATTTAATCCGTCTTAGAATTTGTTCCAAATTGGTTGAAGCAAGCTTTTTGTTATAATTCATACGCGTTCAGACAATTCGGCCACAGACAATTCAGCCAATTTCAAATTCAGACAATTCAGTCAAAATGAGTAAGACAATTCGGCCAAAGACTATTCAGACAGTTTTAAAGTTTTAAAACGTGCGCGCAAAAACTTTTCACATGCGGCAAAACATCAAATCTTTCATTAGACGACTTATAAGTAATTCCTTTCAAATGCATCTAAAACAATTAAAATTAACAGAACCAAAAATGCCTAAGCATAATAAAACTTTATACAACTCATTATGTTTCCAATTTTGGAATAATAGTTAAGCAAAAATCGAACTCTACAAAAAACTGCGCAATACTTAAAAGTTAACCAATTTACACGAAAGCAGACCCGAAATTGGGAATTTACAGGCGGTCAAAAAGGATATCAGTTAAAGGGCTGACCACCCTACCACGTACTGGCCACACAGTTACGCTGATATTCTTATCATGCCTTAGGCGGGGGAGGGTGCAACCGCCTATCAGGTAATTTGGGTAGTTGGTTGAAACTAATTTGATACTTAAACTTTTTTAAAAGATAAACTAATTGCGATTAAAATATTGACCAACCAGAAACCAGTACCGCGTTTAGCGCCTACTTTTTGCAGTTAAATGGTCCATTGACACAATTAACATTGATTAAATTTCATTATCAAGTAGCTTGAACAACTGGTTGATTAGTATCCGAATCATTCTCATTCATTCACATTTAGCAAAAGTTGACGTAAAATGGAATTCGTAATATCTGAACGCGGAAAAAAACATCTTTGTCTCGACGGTTATAGATACCGTGAAAAAAACCAACTTAAGAACGGTCTCATTAAATGGCTATGTACATTTGGAAATTGTAGAGCAGTGGGTTATTTGGACGAACAGCAAGAATTTACCTTAAAAACCGAGCACGCTCATTTACCGAGCCCCTCAAAAATTCAAGCCAAGAAATTTGCTAATGAAGTTCGAGAAAAAGCCGCAAACACCGGTAACGCTCCCCGACAGATTGTTTTCAACGCCCAAATTGACCTGCCTCTTTATGCAGCGCTCACAATACCGAGTTACTCAACATCCCTTCGAAGTATAAACCGAATCAGGCAGCAAGCTTTGGAAACAATGCCAAAACCAAAAAACCTTGAGAGCGTCGACGAAATTCCTGAACCTCTCAAACTCGCACACAGCGGTGATACGTTCCTGTATTTTGATTCTGGTAAGTCGGACAGTCGAGTTTTAGTTTTTGCAACACTACCAGCGCTTGATTTGCTTTCTCAGTCGGAAATCTGTCATTGCGATGGAACGTTTTCAGTGGCACCAGACGTCTTTTACCAAGTTTATACTATTCATGGTGTAATCGAAAACGCAGTTATACCCTTGGTGTATGCTCTGCTGCCCAATAAGACGCAAGACACTTACGAAAAACTTTTTGGCTGCTTAGAGCAATTTGGAAAAAAAGTAGTCATTGACTTTGAAGCCGCTGTTCGCAACGCCATAAAAAAAATGCAGCCTGATACAGAAATTAAATTCTGTTTCTTCCACCTGGGCCAAGCAGTATGGCGCAATGTACAAAAAATTGGTTTTTCGCGCAAGTACATGGACGATGATGAGTTTCGACTGAATGTCAAAAAAATGATTTGCTTGGCATTCGTTCCCATTGACGACGTTATTTTCGCGTTTGAGGCGCTCCGAAAAGAGGATCCCTCAGAGGAGTTCCAGAGTCTATCAGACTACTTCGAAGACACCTATATTGGTGCTTGTCGAGGAAATAGACGCGTCAAACCAAAGTTTGACATTGCCGATTGGAACGTTTTCAATCGGGTGCTCAGCGGAGAACCTCGTACGAACAATGCGTTGGAGGCATGGAATGGCAGCTTCAATAAGTTCGTATCGACAAAGCATCCAGCCCTCCCCAAGTTGATCACCCGATTCAAAGATGAGCAAAAAAACGCCGAAATTAATGTAGAGAGACTGATGTCCGGTGATA